GCAGGTATCCTGAAACCCATCTAAATAAGTGGGTCACAGCCTTCAAATATACCTATAAATAGCACAATGTTTATTTATTTATTTTGAGAGAGAGAGTTTGTGCGTGCACACACACACATGGGTGATGGGCAGAAAGAGGGGGGCAAGAGAATCATAACCAAGCTCCCTGCTGTCGGCGCAAACCATGAGATCATGACCTGAGCTGATCAAGAGTCAGATGCTCAACCGCTTAACTGACTGAGCCACCAAGGTGCCCCTAGCATTGTTTTTGATAAGATGAAAGATTAAAGAAAAACTATAAAAAACACTAAGTTTAGTCTCAACTAAAGAAGCAAAATGAATATTTATTCCAAAGCATAAATTTGGGTAAATTTACCTGGTGTCAGTTAAAGAGAATTAGAAATTTGAGCCTGAATTAAATTTAATGAATAGGTTTCCTTCTTTCTTGATTTGTTAGATTATCACAGTATCACAATGCTTACTCTGATAATTTTAGCTGTCGTTTCTCATCCAGAACTATGGCACATACTTTCTTTGAATACTCAAATCCTTCCAACATGTTTAGTTTATTGACTTTTCTCTTTACTCCACCACCCTTCAAAGAGATAATCTACAGTTTCATTTTCAACTCTAATTCCATGGACTCTCCACAATTCAGCTCTTGAAAAGCTCAATCACTGATATAACCCTAACCAGCCATTCTTTCTGTTCCTATTTCTAGGTATTAGAGAACTACTGGGGAAAAAAACAAAACAAAACAAAATGGATATACTAAAAGTTTTTAAAGAGTAACCCTAACTTGGGGCGCCTGGGTGGCTTAGTTGGTTAAGCGTCCGACTTCGCTTAGGTCATGATCTCGCGGTTCCTGGGTTCGAGCCCCGTGTCGGGCTCTGTGCTGACTGCCAGCTCGGAGCCTGGAGCCTGTTTCAGTCTGTGACTCCCTCTCTCTCTGACCCTCCCCTGCTCATGCTGTCTCTCTCTCTCTCCTAGAAATAAATAAAACATTAAAAAAACAAAAGAGAGAGAGTAACCCCAACTTATCCACTGCTACTTTCTACTTTCCATTTATGCCTCAAATTCCAAGACATAATCTCCATGAGATTAGAATCTCTTTAAAATACAATGTGCCTTTCTCACAAAAATCCTCCCTTCCATACTTTAGAACCTCTCCTTGCTAATTACTGACAGGTTCAATACATATTATTGATAAGGTCAATCGTTATTGTGCCAAAATGGGAGAATAAGGCCTCAAATGCCATCTGCCCCTCTATTTTCACATGACCTTGTCTCTCTTCCTTGTCCCATTCCTTCCATTACTTCAGAAAATGAGATTTCCTTTCCACTGAAAAGAACTTCACCACCTATTCTGAGGAGTCCGTATTATTCTGACTTTTCAGCATCTTTGTCCTCACACCCAATCCTTTTTTTGTAACATCTTTCATACTCCAGTAGCTCCTTGATGCTGTTGCACTTGACAATAACTGACTACTTTATTAGTTTTTCTCCAACACTATCATGGCATTGTACTATTTCCAGTTCTCAATCATATCTCACATTATGCCTATACTGGTTTCTTTTACACTCTCTCACTCTTAATGCTTATTGCCTTTCCCCCACCAAGTTTAATCTTTGTTCTCTGTTCTCTCTATGGTCTACTGGAGAATGGGGTGGAAGAGGGGGTGGAGAATTACAGGGAGGAATTAAGCTGGCAATCTGTAGTTCCCCACATATATTGAGATGGTAAAAAATTGAGAATTATGGCTCACCACTCTCAATGAAGTATTCATTTATTCTCATACTTACGGTAAGTAAACTACCATACTTAGGTCTATGCAGTAACTCCCTTATTCAATTTTCTCTATAATTTGACCTCTTCCCTAAGACCCACTCCACGCTTCTAGAAGCATGATGAATATTTATATTTTCGTGTCCCACTATCAGACATTTCCAACCTTACAAAACTAAACTCTGACATCTCCTAGGTAAAATACTTTATCTTTTGAATGACCCAATCGCTATTACCCAGATTAGAAAAGGTAGGGTCATCTTCTTAATTTCCTATGTTCAGTTAGTGATCAGTTCATCATTTAGATTGCAACATTATCTTCACCAAAGAGAAGGGGCAGAGAATTCCCCATCCAAAAGGGACATACATCCTCATCAATTCTTTGTGTTACGCTACACTTGCCGCTACACTACAATCTTACCCCTAGTCTAATCTCAAACAAACAAGATCACTTTCATTATGTTATTCTGGCAAGTTCCCTATTATCAGCTAAATATAAAGTGTAAACACCACTAGTGTTTACACTGAAATCTGATAGCTACTTTCATACCCTCTTCACTATTTTTCTCTACGTTAGCATTTCTCAAGCCTTTTGGTGTCAAGACCATTACAGTCCTAAAAACTACTGAGGACCCCAAAGAGTTTTGGTCTATATAGGTTATATGTAACTGTATGTACCATACTACAAACGAAAATTGAGAGAAATTTTAAAGGGAATACATATCCACACATTCCATTAACTCTCAGAGCAATGATATCATCACACATCATATAGAAAACTCCACTGACACTTGTCAGAGAATGAGAATGAAAAGGCAAATAACAGCTTAGTATTATTATGAAGAGTTCTGACCTCTAGCACCCATGGCTCTCTTTGAGAACACTGCTTTATCAGCCCTTGCTTCTCTTAATCTGCCTATCTATCAATCACTGATTACTGATGAGTAACGATGAGTAACGGCTGTGTGTAGCCATAGCCTGGAGGCAGAAAGGCTAAAAACCACAGATTTATAAAATAACCTCCAAATTAATAAGCACATCTGCTCATTAACAGTCTAACCCAACCAATCAATTTTATTTCCTGCTATTGCCATTTCCTTCCCCTCTTGCTCTGCACTCCTAAACCAAGGTTGGAATCATGAAAAAGAACAAATCTTTCCCTGCTTCACTAGCATTGAATACACTAGTCCCTCTGGCTGGAAGGCCTTCTCACTCATCCTTCAGATTCAGTTCACAGGTTACTTCTTTCATAAAGCTTTCCCTTGATACATCCTATCCCCAATTACCCTTTTTTAATTCCAAAGCACATTTAGAACTTATCACATTGCACTGTAATTATTTATATGTCTGTCTCCCCACTAAATGGGAGCTACATGAGGACAAACTTTTACTTGTTTTTGTACTTCTAGTATGTCACACATAGTGGGAACTCAAATGTTAGATCATTTTGTTAAAGCCATTTCTTTGAAAGTCAATTCAATGCTCATTTAGCCCCAAATAATCCAGATCATAGCACCTGCTCCTTCCTCTGAACTTCAGAGTACTATTTGGGAACTAAGAGAAAACCCTAAAGGAAACTGTTATTCCTTCCTACAAAAAGGCTAGGGACTTTGGCCTGTATATCAAGTCTAACTCCTGACGTTGACATAAAAGGGCTTTCATCAAATGGCTCTTCACCTTTTCAATCTTATATTTTATTATTCACGAGTATGAACTTACCCTTCCGTCAGCCAATAAACACACATACATATACATACACACACACAAACACACACACACACACACACTCCATTCTATTTTCATCCCTTTTGTTTATATCCTTCCCTTTCCCAGAATTCCATTTCCTTATTATTTTAAATTCTACTTTTCCTTAAAAGCTGGGTTTAAGACCCATAAATTTCATGAAGCTCTCTGGGACTATGCCAGACCATAGATAAATTTCCCCTTTTGGAATATCTAATACATTTCCATCTGTTTTCTATAACTGAAAAATTTATATAAACAGATTTATAGGTATATAGATGTATTTACAGTGTATTGTCTTGCATCATTGTCCTTTAATAATTTCAAGTAACTCAATGATGCAACCCCCAATAGCTCACAACAGCTAAAGCAGGCACAGTCCTCATCAAACATCTGAGTGACATTATGTACCAGATACTGCTAAGATTTCTAATCTTATTTCTTTTGCATCAGCCCTTGCTAGTAACAGGAAGATGAAGGCATGAAATACTATTCCTCTTACTTAATTTTCTTCCTAACTGGTCAGAATAATCCAGGTTATTTTTTTTCCAGGAAACACTTTATCAATGGACATAATTATCAACTTGAAAATGAGATGTGTGCTATAAGATCCTTCGTCTCAGCACTCTTAAACTGCAAACTTGAGTAAGGTACTTCAATTATAACTGAGTCCCCTCGATATACTTAACTTGAAGTGCCCTTACCTTTTGTGTTCCTTTACCTTGAATGTCCTTTCTTATTTTAGTCATTACAATTTTAGTTCCCTTAATAACCTTAACAAGTTCTGATGCGAGTAATGTGTAATAAATAACAGTAATAATGCCAAAGAACCAAGAAAGTAAAAGAACCAAAAGTAAGTAGAACCAAAGAAACCAAGCAAGTAAAAACCATGCATAAAATGAAAACAATCTTTGGAAACCAAGAAATTATGGTAACTGGGCTCAGACCAATTCTTTCCCTTAAATGGAATTTGTCTAATGGGCCACATCTTCCCTATCACCATTTCCTTCAGTATCTACACCCACCCAAATGGAGCAAATATTCGTTGGAAAATCAGCTGAACATAACCATCAAAACTTGCTCCCTGATACCATGGATTCATGGTAACTTCTAAAGATCACTTCCCCCCAGTTCTTCACTCTTGCATATGTGACAAAGTCAGTAAGAAGGAAACATAGAAAAGTATAATTAAGGAAAATAATCCTAAGGTTAAGCGTGCTCTAAGTCCTAGTTGTTTTTAAGTGCATCAACTGAATGTTGAACTCGTATTTAAACACTAGAGAGACCTGAGGTTGCCGGCAATTCTTTACAAAATACATATAAGAATATTCTTTGGACAAAGGAGTCCCAGAATGAATTTCATGGGAGAAGAGGTCTGATGAATGAGGAAGCCGTCAGCTGACATGCAGCAGCTCCTTCACCCCGTTTCCCCCCGCCCCAAAAGCCGTAGGAAATAGCTGCAGAAATGTACCTTCCAGGCCAGAAGCAAAACATTGAGGATGGCCAGCAAAGGGCAGGGTCCATTCTCATTCTGAGTGATGATGGGTGTGTTCTCTTCCTTCCACTGGATCCACTTGATGTGATAGACAGATTGTCCCGGGAAGCGTTCCTTGGAGGCCGCCAGTACCTGAGCTTCCTCCCCCTCCTCCACCTCCTCCTCCTCTCGGCAAAGAGGCACAGCCCGGGGCAACACTGCCGCGCCCTCGCCCTCCTCCTCCTCCTCCTCCCCGGGGACCCTGTTCTCAGCTCCCTCCTCACTATTAAACTCCGAGCTACTGGGGAAAGAATGCAGGTTAGAGAACGACTCCAGGGAGTCCAGGCTCGGCGATTCCCCAGGAGGGCTCGGGTCGCTGCAACTGCTGCTGAGGCCGCCGGCGCTGCTAGGCTCCTCGGAGCCGGCGGCCGCCAACTCTGCCCGGCAGGTGCCGGCGTCTCCGGCCGGACCAGATCCATGGTCCGCTCCGGCCTCGGCTGTCTCCGGGGAGGCGGTCACCTTGTGTTGCCCTCTCAGAGGCGCCTTCTGCGCAGCAGCGTTCTCCAAATCGCTCTCCTTCAAGTCCAAGCCCGGGAAGGAGCTGCAGGGTCCGGAAACCTGAGGAGAGCCGGCGGGAGAACCCGAGTCCAAGAGGCTCCTCCCGGCGGCCGCCGCCCCCTGTCCATTCCCGCCTCTGCTCTCCGCCGCCCATACTCCAGGACCATCCCCGGCAGCGAGCCTGGTCTCCGGTGGTCCTTCCTGCGGAGAACCGGTCCCTGGCGCTGGCCCGATGGCCACCCCGTGTTCTAGCGGCTGCAGGCTCTCGGGGCCGCTCTCCATACCCAGCCGCCAGCCTCTCGCTCTAAAGAGACCGCGGCGGGTTCTCTTCAGCCAGCGCCTCCGACGCCATGACAGCGGCACTGGCAGCTACAGCGCCCTTGCGCGGCCTCGGCCAGGCACGTCACGGGTAGGGCACTGGGAGCGCGCGCGCGCGCCGCCGCGCTACCGCTTGCTTGGGGCGTGCCTGCGCGCCGCCGGGGGAGAGCGAACTGCGCGGCGACCCCTACCCGGACCCGCCCCTTCTGCGTGCTCGCCTGTCGGAGCTCGTGCTCCGAAGGCGTGGCGTAGTGGGCGTGGCTAGGAGGGTGTGGCCAGAAGGAAAACATCCTCTCTCTTTGTAGCCGGAAGTTGAACTCAAGGGCAGCCCAACCGCGCGCGGCTTCTTTAAAGGAAAGGACGGCGAAGAGTACTTCGGCTGTGACCTTTCAGAGCTGCGGTGTGTGTCGCCCGCCTAGGGCTCAAGGATGAGTTGCCTGTGATTGTGTTGTTTGGAAAAGAGCTCGTCCCCAAGAACTGAGGTTTCCTGGCTTGTAAAATGGAAAATTGAGGGAATTTGTTACGAGATGCGAATTTCTAAACGCTGTGAATCTACTAGAGGTGTTTGGATTACAACATCTCATAAATCCCAGTCTTCCTAGGTTTTGGCTGAGAAACGGGCCTCACCACCAGCTACTGGTGAAAACATTCGCCCTACTTAAGGCGTCAGTGCGGTTGTGGATATTGGCCTGCACAGAAAAAACAAAACAAAACAAAAATGTGGGTAATTTTGGGCCAATAATAACAAATTAGGTTCTTCCTGAATTAGCCAGGTCTTTGCGGTTTTGTTAATTTGGCCTCACTTTGGATGGAGTGAGAAGTGCCTATCCCTGAAGGAGTTTTCTAATGCAATTGATTCGTCTTAAGGCCGTGTGCAATTTTCAGAGAGAACAGAGTAGGCTGGAAATTTTGTTGGTGACAAAATTGAATTTGGGGCCTTCTTTCATAGTTTGGCATATAAATACCCAACATCTAATGGAACGGTATCTTTCGGTATCTTTTTTGGTTCGAGAAGGTAGACAAAATTACAAAGTAGTGTTTCATTCACTCAACACCTCTCAAGACCAAGTACATTGCTGGAAACTGGCACTGGGGATGCTATGGCAAATAAGAAAAAGGGCTCATAGCTTCTTTGGGTTTACTATCTAGTAGTTTGGGGTTTTCTTTTGTTTTTTCTTATTGCTATGTTTTTATTTATTTTAAATGCTTTTTTTTTAAATTTTTTGAGAGAGACAAGAGCAAGCAGGGGAAGGGCAGAGAGGGAGAGACAATCCCAATCAGGACCTGAGCCAAAATCAAGAGGGGGTTGTTTAGCCAACTGAGCCACCCAAAAGGCCCTCCCTATTGCTATATTTTTAATATTTGCTTGGGAAGGATGGCTTCCTGAGAAAGCAGAAAGTGGAGCACTTTCCACCTTTTTACATTAACACAATACTATGATATTTATCCAACTCTTGGAAAAGAGGAAAATTTAACAAGATAATGGAAAGCATTTTCAAAATGTTGAATTTAGAAGTTTTGTGTGTTTTTGGTCTCCGTGTCAATTTGAAAGCAACAAATATTATTATTCAAATCAGAATTTTTCCCTGAAAAGGATTGCAAGTGTTAACAGATTAAGACACATCCTGCCAGGGGCATCTGGGTGGCTCAGTATAAAGAGCATAATCTGGGGTCATGAATTTGAGCCACATGTTGGATGTAGAGTTTACAAGGTATATGCTGATGGATTAAACATTTTACAGTATTTTTAAAAAATTTTTAATGCTTTATTTATTTCTGAGAGAGAGAGAGACAGCACGATCAGGGGAGGGTCAGAGAGAGAGGGAGACACAGAATCCAAAACAGGCTCCAGGCTCTGAGCTAGCTGTCAGCACTGAGCCTAAAGCGGGGCTCAAGCCCATAAACCGCGAGATCATGACCTGAGCCGAAGTCAGACGCTCAACCAACTAAGCCACCCAGGTGCCCCAACATTTTACAGTGTTTATGATCATTACGTGTAAATGAGAATATAGGAGATTTCAGGAAATTCAAAATTTAGCATGGTGCCTTGATTATAAATAGATATATAAAGGCGTATTATAGAGGTGCCTGGCTGACTCAGTCAGTAGAGCATGTAACTCTTAATCTTAGACTGGTGAGCCTCACATTGGGTGTGGAGTCACTTTAAAAAATAAAAAATTAAAATAAATAAATGAAGGTGTATCATATGAGTAAATTGAGCGGATCATTTACAGGCCAGAAACCACAGAGCCAAAAAATATGGAACACATTTCTCACATAATAGTCTTTCACTATGTATTTTTTTAAGACTCTGCTTAGAGGAGCACCTGGGTGGCTAAGTCAGTTAAGTGTCCGACTTCGGCTCAGGGCATGATCTCACAGTTCATGAGTTCGAGCCTCCCATCAGGCTCTGTGCTGACAGCTAGCTCAGAGCCTGAAGCCTGTTTTGAATTCTGTCTCCCTCTCTCTCTGACCCTCCCATACTCATGCTGTCTCTCTCAGAAATAAATAAAAAACATTAAAAAAAAAAAAAAAAAAAGGACTCTGCTTAGATAGGCCTGAACTTGCTCTGGTAGTTTTCATTGGTATATGTTTCAAATGCTCACATGCATAATTTAATAATTTATTTATAATAGAAACAGAACCAATTTTTCTTTTCTGTATGTTGTCAGCAACTACATAAGCCCAAATGAACAATGGTAAAAATGTATGTATGTAGTTATTTAAGTTTGAAAATGTACATAGTTATTTTTCTAAGGGAATTGGGGAGTGCCATCTAGGGAGAAATTCCTGAAGACAGCTGACTAATGTCTCATTCATTTTTGCTTATATGTATGTTTAGGTTTTTGTTTTTCCTGCAATTGACTGTTACCTCATCATTATGTTTGTTTGCTTAACTCTTCACCTACTACTAACTCAACCACAGACTTAACCGTATAATCATACATATCATGTTTCCTCTCAGATCCATTTTAATTTTGGGTCTATACCTCCTGAACAGTTTTCTTACTCTGATCTAAACTTACTGTTTTATTGGGTTGTTGTCATCTTGGGAGTTCTCTTCACTATTGTCTTAGGAACTCTCTCTTCCTCGTTTCTGTGTAGATTCCTTTCTGGGATCTCTGTCTTTCTCTTTCTTAGATCTGGTGGAACATATTCTTGTTTAGCTAGCCTGAGAAAGAGTGCAGAGGAAGCGCATTTTGGTGGACTGTGTATGTCTGAAAAAAATACATAACTCTATTCTACCTTTATCTTCATAGTTTGGCTAGACATAAAATTCAACACTGGAAATGCTTTTTCTTCCTTTTGAAGTCATTGATCATTGTCTTTCAACTTCCAAGTGATTATAGAGCTGTCTGATGTTCCAGAACCTTTGTATATTACCTGTGTCTTCTCTCTGAAGTTTATTTGATTATCTCTTTCTTCTTGGTGTTTTGACATTTCAGTATTTGATGTTTTTTTGTTTGTTTGTTTTGTTTTGTTTTAGATAGACTTCATGCCCAATGTAGGTCCTGAACTCAGGACCCTAGATCAAGACCGTGAGAACAAGACCTGAGCTGAGATCAAGAGTCAGACACTTAACTAAACCAACAGAGCTACCCAGGTGCCCCAATATTTGATATAGTTTTAACTGGGTCTTGCTTTATTTATTGGGCTGCATACTAGGTGATCACACTTAATGTAGAAACTCATGTTCTTCAGTTCTGGAAAATTTTCATTTTTCATTTCTTTTATAATTCTTATTCTTTAGCTTTATTTATCTTTTTCTTCTAATTTCTAAGAGATTCTTTCAATTTTATCTTTCCATTCTTTTTAAAAAATATTTATTTATTTTGAAAGAGAGAGCATACATACATACACACACACGTGTGTGTGTGTGCAAGCAGGGAGAAGAGGCAGAGAGAGGGGAAGAGAGAATCTCAAGCAGGCTTTGTGCTGTCAGTGCATAGCCTGTTGCAGGGCTTAATCCCACCAACTGGGAGATCATGACCTGAGCTGAAACCAAGAGCCAGGTGCTCAACCAACTGAGCCACCCAGGCACCCATTCAATTATTTTAATGCATTACTTACTAGTTCTGTTGTATATTTAACTTCCAAGAATTCTTTCTAGTTCCTTTTTATTGCTTAGAGGCATCTTGATCATTCAGCCCTTAGAATATTGATCACAGTTTTTAATGTATCCTTTATATTCTTCAAAGGATATCTGAACAATATGCTATAAAAGAAAAGTATACTTAGTATGGAGTTATTGATAGTGCCAGAGAGTCAGATATGGGAGATACAAGTGTAAAACATTAGTTTTACTCTTTGGAAAGGCAAAATATGCTTTGGGAAATAAGATATATTCATATGAAATACTGAGAATATAAGTCAGTTAATAATTCATACTAAGTGAGTGGTTCAAGCAATAACTGTTATAAAAATTCAGATGAGGAAAATCTTTTCATATGAGGTAGTTGAGGAATTAAGCTATATTATCCTAATTGACATCACAGGATGATTATTACCTCAGGCTTAAGAAATCCAAAAAATACATCTCTAACTCTCAAAAATATTATTCTTTTAATTTTTTTTTGAAAATTGGATCATAGCTTTTCTAGCTACCATGACAACAAACTTGGTACTCTTTGACTTTTACTCGAATTTATTTACTATTATCTCATTGTCAAGTCTTACTGATATTATGCACCCCTTTTCTATTTCATTTACCTGTAACCACCCCTCCTTGCTATATCTTTATCACCTTACTACTAGTGTGTATCAGCATTCTTTTTTTTTAATTTTTGTTTTGTTTTTTATTTTTGAGAGAGACAGAGTATGAGCAGGAAAGGAGCAGAGAGAGGGAGACACAGAATCCATTCTGAAGCAGGCTCCAGGCTCTGAGCTGTCAGCACAGAGCCCGATACGGGGCTTGAACCCACGAACCGTGAGATCATGATCTGAGCTGAAGTCAGTCACTTAACCAGCTGAGCCACCCAGGCACCCCTGTGTATCAGCATTCTAATTATTCCTCAGCCTATGGGGATTTTTCCCCCTAAATCCTCATCTTCCATA